ATATTTGGTGCTCTGTTTTCATAGGCTACTTTCTCTCAATTTCAATCAAAGCGTTATATTTTCGTCTAATAATGGAGGCCATTTGTGTGGATTGAGAAAATGCATGTTAGTGGTATGGGTCCTCTTTTAACTCATAAAGTAAGGACGTGCAAGTCCTCGTTTCTAACTGTATGGCCCTAACAAGTAAAGAACAAGGACACCCCAAATTGGCAAATCCTCTCGTGAGGCTTCTGGACACCCAACTCTCTTTCCACTCAATTCAACTGCACTCTTATTTCCCATCACATGCTCTCCAAAGAATTCTTTATGTTACGAACTTAAAAGATTATATTACATTACATTAGGTTGAGTGTTTTTTTTTTTTTCTTTTTTGGATAATAATATAGTTATGTTATTTAAGCAGATTTGTTATTTATAGTTATCAAATTTCTATATTTTTTAGTTTCTGTAGTACATATACGTGATTTTGAAGTAAAATATAAAAGAAATGATATAGTTAATTAAAGAGACGAACTTTCTTACTTTTACTAATTTAGGATACAATTTTTTTTATTAATTAATGCAATGAATTTTTAAAAATTATCAATAAAAGATATTAATTTTGTATTTTTACTACACTATGGGTGTGGTTATGAGTGTAACAGCAATTTTGATGGAGAGACAATTTTAGTAGAAGAAATTATAGGGTTGACGGTTGAGGGATCAATATAGTACCGAAAAAAGTTTAAAGATCATTTTGTACCAACCAAAAGAGTTTAGGACCCATATGATGCTTAAACCATTTTCTTTCTGCTCACTTCAATAATTCTTGCAAAGTTCAAATCTTTTCAGTGTCTGAATTCATCCTTTTAATTAATTGTTCACATTTATTTTTTCCTTGATCTAAAGCCCTCAACTTTCTCGAGAAAACGAAGGAAAAATTTATGAACAAGAAATCTAAACAAGAGACAGGAGGTAGGTGGTTTTGGATAGAGTGAAAGATACAATGGCGGGAATCGCTTTTCTGGTGGATCTATGTAGGAAAAATCCAAGCTTTTGCTCTCCGAATAGCCTCCACAGTTCTGGCTTCTTTTCTGCCTCGACTGCAGCTGCATCTGCGGCTGCCTCCATCGCCGCCGGCGTCCCTTTTGCCTCTAGGTTCCTTTTCGGGTGGGTAAATCATGCAACATATATTTATTTATATGTCAGTGAGTATGATTTTTAGTATTTGTTCGTTTATTGGTTGGGACAGTTGTAATTTGGAATGGACTATCGTTTTTAATGGTATATTAAGTGATTAGAATTTTTTGATCGGATTTGAAGGGCATGTTTTTCGTAAGTAATTTGTGTGTATATGTGCGTGTACGAGATGTTTAGGAGCTGTGATGATTGAGGATTATGAATTTTTTATGGAATTAGGCAACGGGGTTCTTTTATTATTGTGGATTTGTTTGTTAGTAAATCGAGACTTTTGGTTTGCTTGAGAATGATTGTGGTTTGTGGAATTAGTAATGTAGTGAATGAGAGGCAGCTGCTAGTTGAGTACAATCTGAATTGCGACGCCCTAGTTTGAGCAAAAAAAAAAAAAAAAGAAAGGGGGAAATTTGATTCTACCTTAAATTTTTACCCAAAATGCTGGAGCATTTGTAGCCATGAGATGTAACTCAGTCTAGTTGTTTAGACTTTAGACACTTTTTAATATAATAGTCTTAACTTCACATTCATTTTTTCCACTAACCTTGTCTCCCATCTAGGTCTTCAAGAACTTTTTGTAGTTCTTTTTAATTGGATTGAAGGCAGTTTTAGCATGCAACTCCACATATCCTTGTCATAACTTATCTCAATCCTGCTAGGGTAATTATTATTCAGATAGGATGGGATCGTGGAGTTTGGGAGGAGCAATGGATGAAGGAATCTGCTTTTCTTTTGTTTTGAAATTTGCTTGATTACGTTGATGTTATGTCTATGCATAAGTGTCTTAAACTCTTACCATCTCTTTATAATGTCATTCTATCTTCAGCTTAGCTTCAATGATTTACTGACACCTAGCTTTCATATGACAGTTGTCCCAAGATACCTGTTGCTTATTGTGATGTTGGTGCAGCTCTGTCTGATGCTGACATTTTTAACATGCAAAGAGTATCTGGAGATATCTTTCAGCATGATGCTCTTAAGTATACTACAAAGGAGTATAAGATTGAGTTAAAACCCCTTTTTTCAGCTTTTGAGTTGAAGGCATTTTCTATGACATCTTTGAGGTCATTTCTGATTTTCTATCTGCCTCTTCTGGAACCTGCCACAAACACAGAAGAAGAAGATGATGACATATTCCATGATGCTCAAGAAGAGCGCCATGTAGATTTGATTGTTCCCTTCAAAAAATCTTTGAAGCAGATTGTTCGTGAGGTTAGTTGCTTTTGCCTTAGCCATTGAACTTCTTGGATATGATGCCAATTTTCGTCACACAGGTTATCCATATTCCTCTTTGATGATATTACTTCTGATTAATGAATGCAGGTTGTTAAAATTGGCAAAAGTTCATATCATACAGTTTTGGTGTTCAAATTCATATTTAATTATTTGCTCAAGATGGGTATATGTGGTTTCATTTGGTCCAAGCTTCAGAAGAGAATCTGATTCTGCTGCTTTATTTGTCTTGGTTCATTCCCTGTGCCCGATTCCATTACCTTGTATTACCCTCCTGGCATTTAATCTCTCTTGTTACTGATTTCATTTTCAAAGAAACTTGTTTTAGAGTTATCCTCTGCTCACTCACAACTGGACCAAATCATGATGTTTTACTTCTTGTCAATCTTCCTGAGATTTTAGCTCATATGATCATGAACCTCGATAATCTTTCTTTTATTAATTATGTAGTGCCTGAGAATCATAAGCCAGCATGGCACTTTTCTATCATCTTTTTATGTTTAGAAGACAGTCTGGAACTTCTTATTTTGATACTGTTTCTTAAGAATTGCAACAAAAACCTCACTAAACTATTTTTTCTACCAATGCAGACGACTGTTGTAACCACTAGACGAATTCTTGAAAGACTTGCTGTTCATTATGTCTCACAGCGCATGGCGTGGAAGCTTCTTAAAGGTACTCTTCATCCAACATGCTTGAGGACTGTTGTCTTGCTCAATTATCTTAATTAAAAGGAACCATTGACAATTTGTTTGTTCTGATACTATTTAAAGAATTAATTCTTTTTCTATTAGAGGAATATTTATCAACAATCTTCTATGCTTTCTGATTAGTAT